ATACAGACTTTTTTTCTTGTCATTATTCCTTGAACAATACAGCAGAGTGACAGACAGCAGAGTAGGGTCAACTAAGATTGATAACCACAATAAATTGGTGGTTTCAATCAGAATGGTCAAGCTATTTTCTCCAAACACCTCAGCCATCTCATAGAGATGGTAAGACTGGCCAGTTTATGTTTATAAAGTATTGGGGAAAAAAATGTAATGAAAGTGTGATTATAAAATGAAAAATACCAATAATATTCAACTCGAGCATATTTGATATTTTCAACATCTCTTCAACATCTCTGGATGACATTATTGTAATTTCCTTTCTTTTAACTCCATTTTTATCCATATAATTTTCAAAGAACTTTAAAAACTTAACAGTTATACCAACACATAATTTATATCTATATTTGTATGTGCAGAACACTTCACTCCAGAAAAATGCAGTCTTGTGCAGAAAATGAAAAATGTGTTACCCAATATAAACTTCACTAAGAGTATTAAAAAAGAAAGCCTGTAATTAACCAAATCAGAATTTAACAAAGACACCAACAGAAAGTATGAAAGGACAAAGCTTGCTATGGTTATGATCTAATTCTGCACCTATTAATTCTCCTACTTCTTCACCAAACTGTTTTATGGGGTACTAGTGCTTATAGAGAAAACACAAAAAATATGGCAACACAGAAGGTAACTTGCAAAGAGATTTATCTTCAAAATGACAAAATATATAATAAGAATTTAAAATTATAAAACAGAGCACACTTCAATAAAATACCTCCTGAGGTAGAAACAGTAATATGGTTATAAAAAAAAATCATAAAAAATAAAATTATAAAACAGAGCACACTTCAATAAAATACCTCCTGAGGTAGAAACAGTAATATGGTTATAAAATTATATTTGGAGAGATAGATGATTCACCTAAAAGAAAAACACAAAAACAAAACAAAATGAAAAACTACTATTTATACCTCAATGAATAATGTAGGGAATGGATTAAGTGCTCTAAAGCCATCTAAGTCATTCCAGACACTAAGTCTATTAACAAACTGATGAAAAAGATAAAAGCTGTAAAACTCANGTTATAAAATTATATTTGGAGAGATAGATGATTCACCTAAAAGAAAAACACAAAAACAAAACAAAATGAAAAACTACTATTTATACCTCAATGAATAATGTAGGGAATGGATTAAGTGCTCTAAAGCCATCTAAGTCATTCCAGACACTAAGTCTATTAACAAACTGATGAAAAAGATAAAAGCTGTAAAACTCATTATCAGTAATATCAAATATAACCCCATTCTATTTACAATCACAGCATACCTATCTCAATCCCTACTATGTAAGTAAATAAAAATCCTACCTGTCTGCTATAATCTCTCACTCCACTTTCCATCATTGCTAACTTTTCTTGTAACTGGTGGACTTCCTGCTGAAGTTCTTGAATCCTGAAACATTTATAACCATGCCAATATACTTTTGTTAACAAATTCAAAATAACAGAAACGAAACTAGATAGATTTTTTAATAAATTCTATACTTTCTATTTCTCAATTAGTTATGAGGGGCTGTGCAAAAGGGTCCTCAACATAAATATAATACATCATCTAGGAGAATTAATTTTGTTAAGATTAGATAAAAAATTGAGTGGTAAATAATTTGAAACTCAGATACATTATGCAGTAAAACACCTAACTACTTCATTGAATGCACCTGTTATCAGCCACTTGCAGTAGATCTGCAATGTAAGGGTCATCTGGTTGTGGAACTGGATAAGAACTGACTTCAGAAGGAGGAACTGGCTCATCAATCTGCATACGCTGGCGCCTGAAAGCAATACTTCTTTTCTTGCCACCTAAAAAAACAAGTGAGTGTCTTCAAAAATCAAGAAGAAACAAAGTAAAGCACTGTTTTAAAATTACATATTCCAGTTAGCCTTTTAAAATTATGTCTCTAGTTCA